ATATCAAAGCACTTTATTAGAATTAAATTACCCAATGTCAGGCTTCACCCCAAAACTAAGCCCAAAATAATAGTTACTTCATCTTCATAGGTTTCAAATGATTTGTTTGTAATCCACAGACAGCTAAGTGAATTTTAACTTCTTCAATGAAATTTGGTGAAGTAATAAAAAGTATAATGTACCTTAAAGTCTACAGTCTTTGAAATTAATCATTTAAATTTCTCAAAGGAACCCTAATTAATTTCTTTATAATTTACGTGGCCAAAACTAATTAACAAATGCAATCTTTAAAGCTATATGAAAACACCCACAATAAAATATCTGAAAGGAGGTTGGAAAACTGTCCAGTTCAACACAGCACCCAAAGGGTCAGGGACTCAGAGATAAACCCACCTGAGAAGGTGAAATACCTATACTCTGAAAATTGCAAAGCAATGATAAAATAAATTAAGCAGAACACAAATGAAAAGCCATCCCATGTTTCTGAGGTTGCAATATCTATCTGACCCAATGTGATCTACAGATTCAATGCAATCCCTGTCAAGATCACAATAACAGCTTTTATGAAAATAAGAAAAATATTCTAAATTAAATATGGAATCACAAAGGTCATAAATAACCAAATCAATCTTGAGGAAGAAGAAAGCTAGAGGCATTATAGCTTCTGATTTCAAACATATTACAAAGTGCAGTAATCAAAACAGTATGGAAGCTGGGCGTTGGTGTGCACACCTTTAATCCCAGCACTCGGGAGGCAGAGGCAGTCGGATCACTGTGAGTTCAAGACCAGCTTGGTCTACAAGAGCTAGTTCCAGGACAGACTCCAAAGCTACACTGAGAAACCCTGTCTTGAAATGCGCCCCCCCCCCAAAAAAAAACCCAGTATGGAATTAGTAGAAGACACACTGAGAGCAATGGGCAACACGAATCCCACAAACAAAGCCACAAATGTACATGAGCTGATTTTGACAAATGTGGCAAATATACACAATGAAGAAGAAAAAAAAAAAAAAAGGCAGTAGCTTCAACAGGTTTGGGAGCATTACATAGCCACATTCTAAAGAAAGGAAACTGTACCCACATATTCCAAATCATTTTAAAGTGGACTAGAAATGTAAAGACAGAAATCCATGAAATCCTGGAAGGAAAGAGTGGGTAAGCTCTGTGGAATTCATCTTGGCAATGACTCCATGGTTGTGACACTGAAGACTCAGACAGAAAACCAGAAATAAATAGGTCAGTCAAGATCAAACCAAGCCTTTTCTACACAAGAAATGAAATAACGAAGTGAAGCCTATGAGATGGAAGAAAATGCTTCCAAGCCATGTATCAGACAGAAGGTAATCTCCAAAATAGTAAATTCCTATAACTCAAAGACAAAGAAATATTAATAACCTGATTTCAAAATAGATTAGGGACTTAAATGGACATTTGTAGAGAGACATTAAAAACGGCCAGCACAATAAAGTAGGTGGAGCATGAGGAGATGCTGACTCAGTAGTCCTGACGATGAGTTTTCACACCAGCCAGAATGGGCCATTATTTAAAACACCTGTGTGTCCAGGCAGGGGATGGGGGTGGGGAAGTGACTGGAGAGGTGGTTCACCAGCTAAGAGCATGTCTCTTTTCCAGGCATGCATGTGGTACACATAAACACATGTAGGCAAAACACACACACACACACACACACACACACACACACAAAATAAAAATAAATCTTAAAAAAAATATCCAGGTGTGGCCGTACATGCTGGTAATTACAGCACTTGGAAGGGAAGAGGATCAGAAGTTCAGGACCAGCCTCCTGGTGCCTGAACCTTGTCTCAAATGAAACAAAGGCAGCAGGTGTCAGTGATGACGGAGAATGTGTGGGTTACTTCCTTAGCTCTGTGACTAGAAATAAAGAATATATTTTAGCTCATAATGTCGGAAGGTTGTTTGAGCCAATGGTTGCCCCACCTGTGTGCTTAGGCAAAGCGTTGTGTCGGTAGAGCGTTCCATGCAGGCAATTCTTCACTTCTTGGTAGACAGGAAGCAGAGAAAAGGAAAAAGAGAAACGAGCTAGGGCAAGTTAGAGCCACTCAGGACATGTCCCCAGAGACCTACTTCCTCCAGTGAAGCCTTGCTTCCTACTTTTTAACCAGTTCCCCAAATGCTATCAGATCACAGATGATTATCCAGAGGCCTCAGCACCTAATCAAACCTGTAAGCTTGTCACAGATGTGTGCTCCTCTAGTCCTCTAGCCATTTCTGTTTTAATGCTTGTGTGTGTGCAGGTGCCCACGGAGGCCAGAAAAGTGTGGGTCCCTGGGAGCTGGAGTTACAGGCATCTGTGAGCTGCCCAGTGTAGATCCTGGGATTCAAACTCTAGTCTTCATGGTCAAGGAGCAAGTGTTCTTATCCACTGAGACATCTCCCTATCACCCCTGCCCACCAAACAATCAAAATCAACCATCACAAAGAGAAGCAATCTTCATCATCCTCATTTTTTAACATGTTGTAATAATTTTTATATATTTGGAAGCCTTCTAAATGTGTAGCTCTATACTGGAAATTAAAGTAAAATTACATAGATGTTGTTTCTGACTTCAAGAATCTTACAGTTAAGAAATACACTTAAAGATAGCCATGTAAATCAAAGTTGGAAATATAATTGAGTACTTCAAAAAGATCCAAAATGATTGAACTTTTAAAAAGTACTTGCTTTCATAGCACATGGAAGATTAATATATTGATTTAATAAATATCTTTAAAGGCAGCTCAGGATGAGCGCCTCCCTGAGTTTAATCTCTAACACTGAGGGAAATGGTTATGCATGTTAGATATTGGGCTGTTGAAGGCAGTTGGGATTAGAGGTAAACAAGGCAGTCCCCACTAGAAGGGACATCATGCTGGAAGCTATACATGATATGGTATAATTGCTCAAGTAAGAGTATGAACAAATCCCAACAACACAACTGACCCATGCCCTAAAGGTTACTTTGAAAATAAATTTAGAAAAGCAAAATTTAAGTCAGTTAATGTTTATATTAATGCTAGCATGTCCATTTTCTTTATAAGAATTAACTATGAATTTTCCTGTGTGGTTTTTCTATATCAAAGTCTGTAATGTTTTATTTTGGATATTAATTTTATTATTGATTTTTTACTGTGGGTTTATTTGTCTTTGTTTAATTGCATAACATATAATTTAAGATACTAAAAATGTCATTTCATAATCTAGTAATTAGTTTCAAAGCAGGATACTTTTAATTCTTTGTATACTACAGGTAACTTTGAAACAATACGTCACATAGTTCCTGTTTGTTACCCACAGGTGGGTAATCCAAAAGTAGTCTTTTTCTCTGATGCACAGAGATACTTTGTAAATGGAAATCCATCTTCAGAGGATAAAACTCAAATTTCTGAAGACATGAGGTAGGTTCTTTCAAATGTTTGCATGGGTTTTCTCTTTTAAGGGAATGGGGTACCCTTAGTGTCAACACAGATGCAGAGGGGTCCTCTTAGCCATCTGTTCTCAGTCACAACTTCAGTGTTGGTCATCACAAACATCATCAAACTGCAGAAGTGGGGATGGCTCTGGAGAAGTTGGGAGTTTGATTTGATGCACTCAGTGAGGTAAAGGTTGGGGTAGCAAGGTCCCTGAAGACTTGGATAAAGATGTCTGAATGATCAGGGAGAAGGATCTCCTCAAAGGAAGGTGAGGTGGCAGGTGATGATGGGCTCTAATGGATGGGGGTCGGTAGAACAAAGAGGGTATGACAGATGGCTCCAAGACAAAAGTTCTGAACCTGCGTGCTCTGAAGACATTAGAAGTCGCATTCGATCCCAAAGGGGTTTATGAAAAAACAAAAAAAAGGTTGAGTGTCCATTTTAAGCTTTGATTCTATACTGTTTAGGTCTACATAAATCTGCTATGGTTCTCCTAATGATTTAAAAAAAAAAAAAAAAGATGACATTGTTTTTATACAAAGTTATGCCATTCTGGGAAATAACTTCATGTGTTCTAAGATATATACTTCCCATACGTTAAATAACACAACATAAAAATTCAAAAGCAAGCTACGATAAGGCTTGACTACAATCCCAGAACTCCAGAGGCTGAAGCAGGGTGACTAGGTGTTCAAAGTGGTTGGGTTTTGCTTGTTTTTCTTTACTCTTTTGCTCTTTATTCTTTAGGGTTCTCAGTTACTTTGGGGGGGGGAACCTGCCACCCAGCTCCCAAATAAATACACTGAGGCTTACTCTTATTTATGAATGCCCACCCTTAGCTTGGCTTTTTTCTAGTCAGAGTTCCTAAACTTAAATTATCCTGACTACCTTTTGTCTCTGGGCTTTTCCCTTTTCTTACATCTGTATAACTTACTTCCCGCTCTTACTCCGAGGCTGACTGGGTGGCTGTGTGGCTGGGTGGCTGTGTGGCTGGGTGTCTGGTTGTCTGGCCCCTAGCGTCATCCTCTCCTTGTTCTCTTGCTCCTTTGTGTCTCAGATTTCTCCTATTTATTCTCTCTGCCTTCTAGCCCCACCTATCCTTGCTCCTGCCTCACAATGGGCTGGTCAGCTCTTTTATTAGACCATCAGGTGTTTTAGACAGACAAAGAATCACAGCTTCACAGTTAAACAGATGCAGCATAAACAAAAGCAACACATCTTACATCATTAAACAAATGTTCCACAACAAAAACAAAAGTAACACACCTTAAAATGATACTCTAGATTGTTATCAGCCACAACTTCAAGGCCAGCCTGAGCTAAAAGAGATCCTGTCTTAAAAAAAACAAAAAAACAAAAAACAAAAACAAAACTCAAGTTAGGCAATCCTAATCTCAAATATTTTGCAAGCCAGGTGGGGAGCCAGATCTGCCACAATTGCTGTATATGTTGACAGTGCTATGGGCATCATTAGCCAAATAGATGCTAACACATTCTATACATTTTATTTCAACTTTTTTTCCCATTTATTTTCAGTTTCCCTCTTATTTGTTCAATCTCCCTCCTCTCCTGAGCAGTACTAGGATCAAACCTAGTGCTTGAGTCATGCAAGACAAGCGTTTCTACTATTGAGCCCACCCTTCCTTTGCATTTATTTATTTATTTGATATTTTTGTTGTTGTTGTTTTTTGAGACAGGGTTTCTCTGTGGCTTTGGAGGCTGTCCTGGAACTAGCTCTTATAGACCAGGTTGGTCTCGAACCCACAGAGACCCCCCTGCCTCTGCCTCCCAAGCGCTGGGACTAAAGGCATGCACCACCACTGTCCGGCTCCTTTGCATTTATAAACCAACTCAATGATTGCTCCGCTGGTCCCCCAATCATACAGTAGTGTTCATTTCACTATAATGAAGGGCAATACATATTTCACTGAGAAAGTAATCAGAGCCAGCAGACGTACCATGGAATTGCATTCCTCTTCCCAGAACTGCCTGCTGAAGGGCAGAGGGGTCTGTCGTGTGATTCTCCTTTCATGGTCTCCTCTGTCATTGGAGACTTGACAATCTCTGTCTAGCCAAACCCCATCAGAAAAAGCCCTGGGACTAGTACCAATGCCCTCCCTGTCCAACCCCTCCCCGCACACAAAGCAGCTCAGGGCTGCTGTGGTGCAGACTTAGGTGTGGGTCTGCAAGTCTGAAAATGCTTGATGGAGAGAGGAGAGGAAAACTGCAAAAGGAGTCCTAGTTTCGCCTCTTCTTCATTCACATGAGAACAGCATGACAACATGTTTGCTCTTCACACACAACCTTCAAAACCAGCATTCCTGCAGCACCCTTTAGTCTCTTAAAGACAGGCAACACCTGCGTAAACCCCACAGCTCAGATTTGAGATGGTGTTTCTTTGTCAAAGGCTTCTATAAGTACTGTTGGTTGTAACAGGTCTTTTCCTGTCCTGCCAGCCAGCTCCCAAATAATGATACAGAGACTTCTTATTAATTATGAAAGCTCAGCCTTAGCTTAGGTTTGTTCCTAACTAATTCTTATATCTTAAAGTAACCCACACTATTTATTTGCTTATTTATTTTTGGGTTTTCGAGACCCATATTTTTAAATTTACGTTCAATTGTTTGGCTGAACATCTCTCTGTAGTGCCCATCCTGCTTTCTCCACACTGGTAGGCTACTCTTTTGCACCTTGATTCATCCCCTGCTTCCTCCCTCTCTCTCTCTCTGCCTGGGAGTCACACCTATATCTCCTGCCTAGCTATTGGCCATTCAGTTCTTCAATAAACCAATCACAGCACTATATCTTCACATATTGTACAAATATTCCACAACAGTTGGTATGTCACAAGGTGGATTCGACAACAAAAAAGGATAATATACACAGCCTCAAGAAACAAAGTTGGTGAATTTTATACATTACCACATAGCAACTGGATCTGTAGTGAGCTGTGGTACACAACACATGTTCTGCATCCATGAGCCGTCCAAATCATTAGGAGCGCACTAATGAAACAGTGATCGCTCTCCTCTCATTATCCTAACTCGGACCTCAGAGTTAAAGGTGTTTTTTTAAAGTGAAAATTCCCTCTCTGCTGCAAAGATCAACTGCCCTAAAAAGCAGCAGAGTGTGGGCCCTGTGATGAGCTCCTACGACTGTGGGAAACAGAGCATGTTCAATTGAGTTTTCAGTTTTATCCTGGGGAGGGGGAATGTTATGTAAATGTTTCCTTTTAAATGTTTATTATCTCCTCAGGTAACCTTTTCCCTGAAAGCATGCCAAATTGTAGACAGAATTTTCTGTCCTGTCTGGTCCCTCAGCCTTTAGTCCCAAATAGATACACAAAGGCTTATATTAATTATAAACTGTTTTGCCTATGGCTCAGACTTATTACTAACAAACTCTTACAACTTAAATTAACCCACAATTCTTATCTATGTTTATGTTTAGCTTGGTACCTTTTCTCAGTACTTTATTCTCATCTTGCTTCCTCTGTGTCTGGCTGGTGACTGCTTCTCTGCCTTCCTCTTCCCAGAATTCTCCTAGTCTGGTAGCCCTGCCTATACTTCCTTCCTGGCTACTGGCCAACCAGCATTTTATTAAACCAATATGAGTGACCAATCTTTACAGTGAACAAGAATATTATTCCACATCACCAAATATTGTTTTGGTGACTCCAAAGATTTTAGTTTGACTAGATGGTAGTATTAGTTATGTCTCTCTTTAACAGAAGGTGACAAAATATATCATGAAACTTTCCCAACTACTTCACAAAAGTTTTTTTTTTAATGTGTGCCTGATGCTCACCTTTTAGTAATTTGAGGAGGGAATCTTTTTATTTGTTCACATGAACTAGTTTCCATTTTTGTTTCTGAATCATGATTCATGTATGTAATTTCCATGTTTTAATTGAGATATACTACACATATAAAGCAGAAGGCAAACATATGGTTCAGCACTTTCATCTATGAATGCAGCTATGAAAACTTTAGTAAGTTAATGTCAAAAACAAAACAAAACAAAACCCTAAAAGATGGTGAGATTAAAGTTGGAAGACTGGTAAAATACTAAAAACAAAGTGTTAATAATTTGGCCTGAGGGGGCAGAGAGATGGCTGAGCAGTTAAGAGGATTGTCTCCTTCCAAAGGACCCAGGTTCAATTCCCAGCACCCACATGGCTGCTTACAGCTGAGACTCCAGTGCCAGAGGATCCAACACCTTTGCACAGATGTACATGTAGGAAAACACCAATGCACATAAAATAAAAATAGATAAATCATTAAAAAGAAAATAAAAGAGCCGGGTGTTGGTGGCGCACGCCTTTAATCCCAGCACTCAGGAGGCAGAAGCAGGAGGATCTCTGTGAATTCGAGGCTAGCCTGGTCTCCAGAGCGAGTGCCAGGATAGGCTCCAAAGCTACACAGAGAAATCATGTCTGGAAAAAACAATAAATAAAAAAATGATTTTTTTCTAAAAGCATCTCCCATTGGATGGGGGGGTTGTTAGGAAGGGAGTTGGGTGGCAGAAGGGGAGGGGGGAACTGGAGTTACTATGTAAAATGAAAAAAAATTTTAAATAAAAAACACCCCCCAAAATAATAATTTGGCCTAGAGTGTTGGTTCAGTGGTAGAGCATATTTGCCTAGCATGATGTGTTTACCTAGTGTGAGCACACACACACACACACACACACACACACACACACCAAACCCATCTGAACACAAACACAAAGATTAGATTTCTAGTTTCTAAAAAAATCTATTAAAGCAACCCTTTCCCTTAACTATTTTAAAGGTGAGAATGAGCTGACATCCATAATATACTTTTACAAGCTGTTTTAACAGTCAAGGTGAGGAACCTGTGGAGAGGTAGAAAACGGTGTTCCAAAAGCAACAATCTGTTGCACACTCCTTGAGGGCTCTGCACACTGGGAGTTGTGCCCGTATGCAAAGTGGAGCACTGCGAAGCAACATCTGTCCGAAGACAGGAGAATGTTTTCCCTGTCTCTTATAAATGCATGCAGTCTACACGTGTATATTTACACAAGCCTGCTTTCCCTGCAGGGAGAAAAAAGTCAGACTTATTGACGTTGTTTGTGACCCTCAAACTGAACTTGATACTATCAAAGTACACTTTAATTAAAGATTGGCTCTAAACTACTTTTTATTTAAAGGCTGATTGTGAACAAATGCTTTCCTTGTTCAATTAAAAAAAATGTATGGTATTAAATAAGCAAGAGCAGTACATATTATTGCTTTCCTCTGTAGTTGTCACAGTAAGTAATTCTGACAGATGTTTCCTCTCTTTTCAAATATGCTAGGGAGAGCTTGAACGTTAGTGATTTAAAAATAGGCATTAAATCTATGTATGTTGTTCACAATATCCACCTAGAGCACTGTAAAGCACTATACCATGAAGAAGGCAAACAGTTACTTAACTATCTCTCAAGTGCAAGCAATGCTGATAACCATACACCCATGTATTTTGCTAATGTAAAAATACCGTTTCATATGGGTTAGGCTGTGGTAGGTTTCAGACATCTTTAAGGAACATGAAACCCGGGACTCGTAATTCTCAGGACTATCCATCCCCCTCTGTTTTGGTTAACTATTTATGAAATACCCAGCTAAGGTATTTGCTAAACTGTGGGAAGAAGTGCCTTTGAATTAAAAGTGTATTTCAATAGTTAAAATAACTGGCTTTCATGACTGGTAAGGGTATGTTTAAACAGTTGTAATAACAGATCTCTGTGCTTCAAAAAGAATTTTAAGAACCGCAGTAATATTTTTAGTCCTAAAACTCTAGGATGCTTTTACATAAAAGCATTTGCAAAGTCAAAATG